ACAATTGCGACTGGATGTAGGAGAAATTAAAGATGACATCAGAAATATAGATGAGAAGATAGTGAAAATCCAGCAAAATATCATAGAAAATGAACAGAGAATACATAAAGTGGAGGAAAAAACGGAAGCTACAGCCTTGAGGCTGGAGAGGATGGAGAACCAACAAACGATGAGGAGTCGGAACACCCAAGATGCACTCACGTTTCTTGGAATGGAAAAGGCATCCTTCTTCCTTAGATTCCAAAATATAGAAGAACAGAGAGATGAAGACCTGGGCGAGATTATGATTGAAATACTGGCAAAGGCAACACACAAAGATAAGGACGAAATTAGAAATGGAATTGATGAAATTTACAGAGCCTTTACAAATTATGCAAGGAGAAACAAACTCCCCAAAGAAGTCCATATTAGGTTTACAAAAAAAACAATGAGAGAAGAAATATATAGAAGAATGAGAGAGGAGACAGTTATGTACAAAGGGAGGGAAGTTCTAACATTGAAACAAGTACCGAGAAGAGCCAGAGACAGGAGAAGAGACTACAGTTTCTTAAGTAGACAACTGAATAAACTCAAGATAAAATTTAGATGGCTCATACCGGAAGGCCTACTTATTTCATGGGAAGGAAGGAAAATCAGAATAGATACAATAGAAAAAGCTCAAGACTTTATGGACCAATATCTAGGAAATGAAGGAGAACAGGAAAGCAGAGATAGTAGAGAAGAACATAACCCAAGTGACCAAGAGACACAAATGACAAACAAGGGAGATAAAGAACAAAAGAAGGGAAGGTTGGAGAAGGAGGAAACAGCGGGGATCTCACAAAGAGTTACAAGAAACACAACAAAGCTCAAAATAACAGACAAATAAACACTAGTGGAAATGGAAGAAGAAATAAAGCTCATTTCCATAAATATAAATGGTTTAAACTCACCAAGCAAAAGACATCAAATGTTTACAAGGTTGCAAAAATTAGAGGCAGACATAATTACATTACAAGAAGTACACATAAGAAAACAACAGAAAAAACTACTTGAAAATAAAAAATTAGGAGTAATATATACATCTTTAGGAGATTGCAAAAAAAGGGGAGTGGTAACATATATTAGAGATCATATAAGATCTAAACTGATTTATACTGATAAAGAAGGCCGAGTCTTAATGGTAGAACTAAAATTGGAAATAAAAACAATATTGTTAGTAGCTATTTACGCTCCAAATGGAAACCAATTAGATTTTTACAAAAAATTACATGACAAACTAAAGGAGTTGGACTACGAAAATGTATGTATTGTCGGCGACTTTAACGCGATAGTAAACTTACGAGAAGATTACCACAGCACTAGGAAGAATAAAATTAAAAGGAAGACATTGCCACAAACATTCAAAGATTTAGTACAAGAAATGAGCCTACACGACACCTGGCGAGAACTAAATACCAAAACAAAACAATATACATATTTCTCGGGCCCACATCAATCGTGGTCCAGGCTGGATATGGCTTGGATGACACCTCAACTAAGTAAAGAAACACACGAAGTAGAAATTATGTCTAGTATATGGGCCGATCACAATCCTATCAAAATAGTCTGGAAAGGTTTCCGAAAACAGAAGAGATGGAAAATGAACACAAGTATAATAAAGGAAAAAGAATATCAGCAAATGATAGAAAAGGAAATCAAGATATTTCTACAAATAAATACAAAAGACACAACATCGTTACAAAACCTATGGGATACCACGAAAGCCTATATTAGAGGCCTAACTATTGCATATATGGCAAGAAAGAAAAAGGAGAAACAAAGAATCAGAAATGAATTATTGGAAGAAATTAAGACAGAGGAACTTAAATTACAACAACAGCCCAACAACACGAGTGTGCTACAAAAGCTAAATTTGGCCAAACATAAACTGAATCTAACCACAAAAACTGAATTGGCACAGAAAATAAGAATGGTAAAACAAAATAATTTTGAACATGCTAACAAAACTGGACGCTGGTTAGCATATAAGCTAAAAAAGCAAACAGAAAAAAGAATTATACACCAACTCCAAGACGAATCAGGAACTCTTTACCACACATATCTGGAGAAGAAAAACATAGCCAAAAAATTTTTTCAAAAACTTTATTGCCAGGAAGAGGTTCCGGAAGACCAAATAAAAAAATACCTCCAAAAAACCAATCTTATGCACTTCACAGAAGATCACAGAGAGATGTTAAACCGGCCCATAACAATGCTGGAACTAAAGGAAGCCCGCAAAAAACAAAAGAACAATAAGACTCCAGGACTGGATGGAATTCCTACTGAATTCTATAAACTTTGTCAACAATCGATAGACCAAATACTGTTACAAGTTTTTAACGAAGCACTACTGATAGCAGAAATTCCAAAATCTTGGACAGAAACTATTATTACATTAATACACAAAGAAGACTCAGATCTGACGCAAATTAAAAATTACAGACCAATTTCATTACTCAACGTGGACTATAAGCTATTCATGTCAATACTAGCTCAGAGACTCAAAGCAATAATACATAACTATATACATCCAGACCAAAACGGTTTCATACCTAAAAGACAAATAAAGAATAATTTGAGAATGATTATAGATATTCTGGAATATTATGATCAGAAGATAGACAGAGAAATGGCCATAATCTCCCTTGATGCCCAGAAGGCCTTCGACAATTTGAATTGGTCTTTTTTCACAAAACAACTTGAACTAATGAACTGTGGAGAGAAATTTCATAACCTGATTAAAAAAATTTATTCCCAACAAACAGCAAAAATCTCAATAAACGGTGACATGACACAAATTTTTGATATTCAGAAAGGAGTACGACAAGGATGTCCCATGTCACCGCTAATATTTATAATAGCATTGGAGGTATTATTAAACGAAATAAGGAACGAGGAAGAAATCAAAGGACTCAAGATCCGGGGAGAGGAGTACAAATTGCTCGCCTTTGCAGACGACGTAATTTTCAACTTGGAAAACCCAAGACGATCTGGACCCAGACTGATGTCGATGATAGAACAATATGGGGAAGTCGCGGGCCTCAAAATAAACAAAAAAAAACAAAACTAATGACGAAAAATATGACCCAGACTCAGAGATCGGAATTAGAAGAAGAATTAGGAATCCAATTAGTAAAGAAGATAAAATATTTAGGTATTTGGCTGACGGCGAAAGCAACCGCGATCAAAGAAGACAATTACACGAAATTACTAAAAGAAATTAAAAAAGACCTGGAAATCTGGAACAGGCTACAATTGTCATTGATGGGCAGAATCAGTTCAATTAAAATGAATATATTACCGAGGGTACTATATCTATATCAGGTAGTACCATTACATCCAGGAAGGGACTTCTTCAAAAATCTCAACAAAATTACAATGACCTATATATGGCAGGGAAAGAAGGCCAGAATTAAGATTAAAGCGCTACAAGACACACGAGACAGAGGAGGCCTCGCAGTACCAGACTGGGAGCTATATTATAAAGCAGCCGGATTGACCTGGATCAAAGAATGGATGAGATTAGATGACAAAAGAATGTTATATCTAGAAGGCTTTGATCTCATACGAGGATGGCACGCGTTCCTATGGGATGGACCAGACAAACAACACATGTACTTCCAAAGACACATAATTCGGGCCTCACTCTTCAAGATTTGGCAGGGAATTAAGAAAACTTATTATACTAAAATACCAAAATGGTGGTCCCCGATGGAGGCATTGATATTTCCAAATACCCTTGAAATCGGAAAGATTATGAGATACCAAGATTTACTGAATCATGAAGGAGAACTTACTCCAAGACATCAACTCCAAAATGGCGATATAAATATTGATTGGTGGCACTATACTCAAATATACTCAAGATACAAGGTGGATAAAATTAAATATGGAATTGCAAAAGATCTGAACGAACTGGACAGAATTTTATTAGGAGCAGACCAGAAAATGATTACTAAAACATATAACTACCTTTTGAGAGACAAATTAATAGAAGAAACAGTTAAACATAATATGACAATGTGGGCCAGGGACATAGGACATAATATTCAATTGGCAGACTGGGAGAAATTATGGAAGCAGAACATAAAAATGACAAGAGCCACATCTTACAAGGAGAACCTCATTAAGATGTTTTATAGATGGCACTTGCCACCAGCCCGACTTGCCAAAATACACCCAAACACTTCGGCGTTGTGTTGGAAATGTAAATCAAAAAAGGGGACATATTATCACACTTGGTGGAAATGTAGGAAAGCCCAACACTATTGGCAAGATATAAAAAATATTATCGAAGAAATAACGAACATTCAAATAGAAAACAGTCCAGAATTTTTTCTATTTGGCATGATAATGGCACAACATCTTAAGGAAACGAAATATCTCATCATACATATCTTGACAGCAGCAAGACTACTGTTCGTGCAAAACTGGAAATCAGACCAACTCCCATCCAAAGACAAAATCATTGCAAAGATAACAGAGTGTGCTGAAATGGACAGATTGACGCTGGAACTCCAGGAAAAGGAAGAAAGCGAATACTATCTTGTATGGCACCAATGGTATCAATGGCTGGAAAGGAAAATCAGCAAAAATGTAGAGGACAGAAATTAGGGTAAAGACTTTCACAAGGAGATGAACCCATAAGAAATGTAAATTTGTAGTGAAAAGTTATAACATAGGAATTAGACATTTAATAATTACTCTTTATTAAACTATATAAGCTCAATGACATATATTCTGTTGATGACAAAAGCGTAAATGTAAAATGTTAGGTGGGTTTGTAGGTGGTGGGTTTTTTGTTTGTCTTTGTATTGTATTGTCTTTATATCTGTGTTTATATTTTAATAATAAAAAATTTTTTTTAAAAAAAGGAAAAAACAAAGACATATCAATTAACAGCAGAAAAATGTTTGCATATTGTTCTCTGAATCCTAAATATTTAGAAAAATATTTCCAAAAGAAAACTTCAATATTTAATAAAAGAGCTTTAATGGATTTTCATTTTAGAAGACAGTTTGTCATATTTTCCCTATATAGATTATACGAGAATGTTATCAAATTATGAATAAGTGCATTTATAAAAGAGAGAATCTATCTTCCATTTCCCAAATACATCATATATGTATACTGTTTAATGCTTTCAAGCCCTTTGATAAAAATATATATTTATCTACTTTTAAATATATATAATTCCCAGCTGGGTTTTGGGTTGCATATTTTTCTGCCATGATATACCAAAATACTTTGAATCTGATCCAAAAATCTGGGAACACTCTGAAGTTGGACATAAATTCTTGGCAAACAGAGGCAGAGCCCTTAGTTTATATGTGAGAAATCATAAGAATGGGTACTCAAAGCTATTTCTTCACTGAAAATGAAAGCTTATACACAGTGAATCTCATTTTCATACGCCTAGAAGTAGAACCAGTTGTCTTTGGGGGGGGGGGCGAGTACTCCATAAAGCAAAAATATTTTTCTGTCTATTATGATCAAAATCACTTTTTTCACCCCTTTGGGTAGTCCTTATGTGCATAGGGACTACTCAGAGGGCTGAAAAAGTGATTTTTGACTGGTCCTCGCACTTTTGACTCCTCACATTTTACGTTTTGCGCCCTATCTTGTCATCATGGTGAAGAGAAGCAGTTGTGAAATGAGTGACACAGTTGTTAAGAATGCTGCAACGGGCATAAATGATGACCAGTCATAAGTGCGAGGACCAGTCAAAAGTGTGAGGACCTGTCAGAAATCACTTTTTTCAGCCCTGTGGGTAGTCCCTATGCACATAGCCATGCCCACCCAGTCACATGACCACCAAGCCATGCCCTCCGCCCCCCAATAAGCCACACCCACAGAGCCAGTTGTTAAAAAATTGAATTTCATCACTGATTTAAGCCCATCTGTGGATAAACAATCCCTCGAATATTTAATCAAAATACCATGAAAAATCCAGTTTGGCTTCTCTGCAGGTGACACATTTTTCATGGTATTTTGGTTAAACATTTGCAGGTCAGCTTATCCACAGATGAGCTTATATACTAGTATACTAGTATACTTATATACAGTATACTATACTGGTACCAGTGTCAGTAGAAACATGAAGTACCTGAACAGTGAATTTCTAAATGTTTTGAGAGCTATAAGTGTCTTGTCCACTATACATATTTATTGCAATAAGTGACAGTAACTCCAATAAACATCCACAGTGTAAGGCCATTTTTAGTGGCCATAAACTGGTGCAACCTCTAAGACAGCGGTAGGTGTGCCTTGTATGGTTGTAGCCATATTTAATGTTCTTTGAGAGAGCCATATTATGTGAAACAAGTTTGCAAAATCAGCAGTCATGTGATAGTCACATACATACTGTATATACAGTAAGCAGGACCAAGACTATTTGAAGATAGGGTCCTTTTGGTTTTTTTATTGTTGTTAGAAATTTATTTTAGAACTTTTACCGTATTTTGTATGATTTGCTCTTCAGAATGTCAGGAAGCCATGCCATCAGGTTTCAGCAACTATGTTTAAAAAACTGGTCCTAGGCCATAATGTCAAATTGTACTTTGCCAAAGGCTTTACCACCCTGTTCTAAAACATCACAATATTATAGGAAAACATAGGGAACGTTCAAATAAAGCAAAATTTATCTTAAATGGATTTTATGCAAAGATTATTCTTTGCCACTAGAACACTAGACATTTTTTTGTATAACATGACTACAAGTTAAATTGTATAGTTACATGTACTGGAAAATGTAATATGTTTAGGTACAAATAAACTAACCAGAAACATCTAAATCTATCATTTTTTTAAAAAAAGATGCAGTTCCCAGATCTACATTTCATCTAGGTTACAGCATCTCTGTCTGATATTTTAAAATAATATTATATATATAATATAATAGAAATAAAATAATCTGTTCAGATATCCAACATTAAGAGGTCTTCAAAACATAAATTAGAAAATAGTAGAATGGCATCAACTGCAGTTTCTCCAGTTTTACCTTTCCCACATTCTGCCTCAAAAGTGACCTGATAAAAGGAAGAAAAAAAATAATGATTAATAAAATTATGCTATCTATATAAGGGATGAGATAAAATGGAAGCCATAGAATTTTACTATCTTTTGCATCATTATTAATTTGTTATAAGAATCTAAATCCTACATATTCAACTACAATTATTTTATGTGATAACAGAATAATAAATGTTGCAGCTGTTGTTGTAGAAACTCTTTCTCTACTTTAGATTGTTAACTTCTGCTAAAGGAGGGTGAAGAAATTCCACAATCTTCACAAGGCTATCTATGATGGCTGCAGTACTTCTGAGATTCAGCTACTGCAATTATGCGGGATAGCCAGATAGGCAACAACTACAAACCGTTGTTCTTTTCTTGAAACAATAATCTGCTGTCATGTAGGAATGTTTCCAATACTATGTTAAGGCATTTCAAAAGCATACCACAATCTGTGTGAACTATCTATCAATAAAAAAGAAAAAAAAATGATTATCTCATACAACTGTAAGTATCCCTGAATAACAACTGAAGTTTGTCCTAACACTTAAATGTCTTTGAATCTTTTGATTGGTTTTCCTCTCAGTCATCAAGAATACTTTCACAAGTTAAATATCTGGATTACATTAACAATCATTCATAATGAAATTTTAGAAAGCACATGATCTAAAGCACTCACAAAATAATGAACATTAACAATTTACTCATATTATAATTCATATTTATTTTCTGTTCTTGTAGCAATTGACTTAGTCAATCTTTCTACTGAAGATCATTTTCAAATTGTTTTTTTGCTATTTTGTGAATAACAGTTTTCATCTTTTAAGGAATAGCAAAGCAAAATACAAATAATTACAAGTGATCATTTCTAGTATGCAACTTATTTGACACACCCAGCCCTGTTGCACTCTGTACATAAGGCAAAACCCTGACAAGAGCTGTTTTTTTAAACCTTTAGCTTACATTCATAGCTGTTTCAGCCCCTGTGTGCACTTCAATCTGTCCAATCCTCCATCGTTCATCATTTCCCATATTCTGTTCCCAGGAAGGACTGCTAGTAGTGTTGCCTAGGAATACTTGAAGTTTTCCCACCCTTTCTCCTGTAAATTGATAACTAAAAATCAAACAATAAATGCTCTTTGGCTCCAGATGGGTGAGAAGAAGTTTCATACGCCCAATATCTCTCTTGTGACCAATGAAGGCTGGAACTGTCATGTAATATCCATCACCTAAAAACACACAGAAGGAAAATTACAACAAGGGGAAACAGTGTGACATTTGTTTCATCCTGAATGCTATTACTTCCCAAAAGTAAAAGGCCACAGCTGTTTAAGCAAAATAAATAAATAAAAATAAAATAAAATCAGATTCAACCCCGGATATCTCCAGTTAAATAAGATCAAAAAGCAAGGAACTGAAAGATTCTGTTCGTGACTCTGGAGAGCTGTTTGGATTAGATGAATGTTCTTATCTGAAATATGTTGTAGGTCAAGGGACTCCTTCATAAGTTAGAAATCTTTCCAGAGAGACTCAATATGGTACCAAGTTTTGATAATAAACCTCCAATCCTATGAATAAAAGCTGGTTTATTTTCCTGCTAATGAATACTTCATTAAATCAGGACATAATTAATTACCAAACTCATGATCTGCAGGATTCCAGTCAAAGTCATCATCTGCATCTTGTTGCCAAGCACAAGAACCTTGACCAAAGCTGCAGTCTACAACTGTGATGTCCAGAAACAGTGATTGACGTTCAGAGACAGAAAGACAAGAAAAATTAATCTAAAACTGCAACAATAAAACTTAATTTAAAATATAGTCAAAGAATTTTACCTACAATTTGTTATAATGTAACAAATGCTATAAACCCCAAATAAAAGTATACTGTTGCATAAGAAGCAATCATATCTCATGTAACTCAGATTTCTTTATCTTAGCAAGCCCCAGTCTGATCTCTTAGGGAAGAAAAATTCTCGTCTCCATTTGGTTGAAGTAAAGATACTTTTACTAAGAGACGCTGGCTGCAGTAAAGTCAGGCAAAAACTGAGTTTCCCACACAAAATGACAAAAACTATTTCCTTCAATCCTATCCCTCCCCCCCCCAACCAGTCCAAAACCAGCCAATGCAATACAGCCTGGACTTTTGGGGATCACTGGAGTGTTTCAGCTGCTAACTTTCCACACTCAGGGCAAACGGCCTTGAAGACGCCTTGGCACAAACTGATCCCATGGTGATCTGTTTTTTTTTCCCCAACTGTCATTCCCTTCCCGAATTCCCTCACAAAAATGAATACAGGTTTATTGCTGCCCATTGATTCTCTCCCCTCCCCCAGCCCCCTAGTCCTTTGATGGCAGGATGCCAGCAGGGTGCCAAGCTGAAGATGGTGGACTTGACACATTAGGTCAAATCATGCTGGCATTGGGGTGGTTACTTCAATCTTTTATTACTAGGGATTTTGGAAACAAAGTGCATTGTCTTGAAATGGGCTGCTTATAATTATCCCAAAATATTTTTAAAATATAACTAAGCAACAAAAAAAAGAAGAAGAGGAATATATCGATTGCACAATGACAACTTCAGGCCATGCACCATAATATGAATAATATGAAAGAGTATGCATGCATTTTATTATTTTTTAAAACTTTTATTTTAAGTTTGTCCACCTCCACACCAGTTTAATGTGAAGTAACACAATTTCAGATAGATGCTTGCTTAATATATTTTTGCTCGGTTTTATTTTTTTATTTATTTTTGCATAGAATAACATGCAATGAACCAAAGGAAGGATATACTTTCAAAAGCAGTTTTTTTTAAAAAACAAAACAAAACAAAACTGATTTTACATTTTCAGGAATATTTTTAATAGAAAGTTCAACAGGTAAAAAGTGAAATGACAGACAAAAAGATAGAATTAAATATACCAGTGGTATACCTTAAAGAAAGCACAAGATTTAGTCAGTTGTCACCAACCTGATACCTTACAAACCAAGTGATAATTATGAAACTGAAGAAAGCCTTGAAAATGACTAGAAGCTTGTTTTTAAAAGCATATAAATTTTATAAACGTATCCAAATAAAATTTTGCTATCCTTAAATAGCTGTATCAGATTATCTCTGATAAATGTGATACATGACAAGATCATTTAAAGCAATTTTAATAAAATTAAACCAAACTTTAGCAGATCACAACTTACCTCCTAAATTAAAATTTGCTCACCTTGTATGTTTTCTTTTAAATCTGGAATTTTTTTGTATGCTATGTGAGGACCAAAAACAGCAGCTTCTTTGTCTAATTTATTAAAGGATACATTATTATTATCAATGCTAAACACACATACATTTTCCAGCAGAAAATTTCACATTATGAAGAATAACAGAAAAAGCATATAAGAAAACTCATCACAGAATGTATGTGCAATTGTAAATAAACCTTTATGGCTTTGTGCAATGGACCAACTCAGTTATCTGCAAATTATTCAGCATGGTTTTAAAAATGGAAACAAGTGTAGTGTGCAAGTCATCAAATAAGCCTGCCAATCATTATCATTGTTATGAATTTATACACAAATTATGCTTTCAGTTTGTTGTGTTTAGAGAAAATCCAAATCTTGGAGGGCATGAATCCAAAAACAAGAAGAGGTGTAGCACAATCAACTTTGGAAGATTCTCTTATTATAGCCAATCTCAATAAAAGTAATTTAATCATCCTATGGAGTTGATTTCTGTCTGGGCTACCTATTGGAGCTAACAAATTGCAACCATAGAGGATAGTAGGATGATGTGGAGGGGAGATCCATAGAAGGACCTGGTTATTTCTGCAGACAAAGAAGCTAAGTCAGATCTGCAAAGGTTATATTCAAACCTTTTAAGTTATGCAAGGCTGGGGTACACTTGAGGCAGAGTTTGATCTTCATAGGCCTGAGGAAATAGGCAGGTTCTGTTGACTGTTAGCAAGGCCCGTCTCTGTATTAGATGTATGTCTGTTGGCTAAGGCGACCCAGAAGTGACATGGGATTGGGTCTTGGCTATGATTAATTCCTCTTTGAGAAAAGGTTAGTTCCATGTCTGTTAAGAAAGTGGTGGTACACCCCATCCTCAAGAGGTTTCAGCCTTGCCATTACAAAAGGCCATTGTTGGACACATGGTATATTGTGATATTTTTCTTCCAATTTCTAACCTTCCCTTTTTAGGAACTTTTGAATGAGCTCTGGAGGGAGTGGAACAGGTGTGGTGCATCTGTCCTTGATTTTCTTGACCTCTCAGTGACTTTAGTACTGTGATGTCCTCTTACTCACACATGCATGTAACTGTAGTTTAGTGAGTTTATTAATATTCCCCACCAATTCCCTTCACCAAAAAAAACCCAGAATTGTCCCAATTAAGTCTGGCCATGAGCAGACCAATGCTAGACCACAGAGCAATGGCCAAAGAGTCCACAAGGCACTTGAAAATTTCACAATCAAAATAAATCCACCAGGCAAACTTAAATCCACAACACAAGAGAATTCATGAGGCAAGAAAAGTCCAGAATTTCCAAAGCATGATCCAAGTCAAGACATGGCATCAATCCAAAGCAAGGCAGGAATCACAACAACCAGAAAACCCACAGCTAGGAAACAAAAACATTGTTCCCAGCATCACCTCCATCTGTCTGCTGTGCTAAATCAGTGCATCCAGGAGTGGGTTCCACTTACCTTCACTAGCGGTTCGCAGCGGGAGCACGCTCACTCGCTTCGCTCTCTCTCTCTCTCTCTCTCTCTCTCGCACTTCTGCACATGTGCAGAAGCTTCTGCGCATTTGCAGATTACCCATGATAATGTTGTGGTGGGTGGGTGGAGCCTCCCGTCAGTTTTACTACCGGTTCCATAGAACCGAACCGGCAGCAACCCACCACTGGGTGCCACCACTGGGTGCATCCCATCAAGAAGAGTGAGGCTTTCTCGTGAATAGTAGTCTGGCTGACTACTCACGTAGTCTGGCTGATTACTCTGTTCTTGCCTCTTCTCTGCCCTATGTGTTCTTGGATCAGCTGCAGAAGGCAATTCCTCATCTTCCTCACTGACTGGCTGCAGCTGCATATTTTCCCCAGCTGGAGCTTCAGCCAAATCCCTCACAGATGGTTGCTCAGAGCCATCAATCAGATCAGCTCCTGACATGCCAGGAACTGGTTCATCCTCCCGAGCTAACATCTAGAGCGGTATATGGGGAATCGTCCAGGGGAGTCATCATAAGTACCATCAATCATAGCATCCTTTTAAACCAACTTTGGGGGTTGGTGTGGGAGGCATTCGTGCCTTAGTCATTCCTAGATAGTTTACAGCAATGTGCTCTACATGGTATTGCCCATGAACAATATTCAGAAGCTGCAGTTTTGTTTTGCTTTATTTTATTACTTATTTAATTTAATTTAATTTTATATTATTTGATTTCTATGGTCGCCGATCTCAGTCAATGAGATGGTGCTCTACAAGCTACACTGGCTATCAGTATGCTTCTGAATGCAATTCAAGATGCTGGTGGTTACCTTTAAGTCCCTTCATGGATCAGGCCCAGATTACTCAAGGGACCATCTCTCCAGTGGTGTCTACCCATCCTGTCTGACAGAATAGGTATGCTCCAGATTCAGTTTGTGAGACAGTGTCAGGACCCTGGAAGAAAACTTTTTCTGCACTCAATGGAGTATCATCTCCTCAGAAATTAGACTTGCCTTGACCATGCTGGTCTGGGATAGGGCACTAAAATGTGGATTTCCCATCCTCTGGTAGAATGGGTGAGCCCATATCATTCATGGCTTGTTTGAGTGGTTGTGAGGTTTTCAGCTGCTACTTTTATGTTGTTTTTGTTATTTTAAACTCTGATTGTTAATTGTTTTTTATTCTAATAGTGAGCAACCTCATGTATATGAAATGGTAGCATATAAATTTACGAAATAAATTAAAAAAACCTGAGAGGCCAGGCTCACACATCATTATCTGGTGGCATTAATCACATTCATCTCTCTTAAACATTTTTTTCCAGATGACCAACACAAAAGAGAAAGCAGGATCAAGATGTCTTTGTTTTTTTGGAGACCACCAGATAAATACTTTCTCTATGCTCCAGTGGTGAAATTCAATTTTTTTTACTACCGGTTCTGTAGGCGTGGTGTGGCTTGATGGGTGTGGCAAGGGAAGAATACTGCAAAATCTCCATTCCCACCCCACTCCAGGGGGAGGATATTGCAAAATCTCCATTCCCACCCCACTCTGGAGTCAGCCAGAGGTGGTAATTGCCGGTTCTACAAACTACTCAAAATTTCTGCTACCGGTTCTCCAGAATCTGTCAGAACCTGCTGGATTTCACCCCTGCTATGCTCCCAACATCTGTGACTGATGAATCTCTTGTTAACAAATTGGCAACACAGTCCTGGTATCAGTTTCCATGAACTATTGTAGATGGCTATTCATTTTCTATTCAGCTGGTTTCTGTTGCCTGATTTTTGTTAAATTCTCAGCATCAAAATTACCTCAGAACATAATTTTGGAATGAGATCTGAGGGACCCTGACACTGGAATGTTAAATACCACACAAAATAAATCTTTAAGGCAGGATCTGTTAAAAATTTGATCAAATTACTTACTAACAGTTTGTCCAGGTAAATAAATAAAAATTAGACTCTTTGATGGAATATGATACAGAAACAGTAAAATAATTATTGGCAAACATACAGACCAAACCTGCCCTTTGGGTAGGGCAAAATATCTCATCCAAACCTCATTTAAACATACTGTATCAATTGCTATTTTACACAGCCTGTTTTTCAGTACAAGTTTTATTTAAGAAAATGAGAATTTTTCTTTTTTTCTGTTTTTCTCTCCTACTGACTGGCTAGAAGGGATTTATTCATATATATTTGTTTATTTATTCTATTTATATATCTGCCTATCTCATGTGTGGCTATAATCCTCTGGTTCAAAGACATTTTGACCCATATAAGGAAGAAATCCTAGAACATATCTGGCAGAAATATAAAGTCATGAGCCTTAGCAAAGCCAGGTTATGTACACATCTGTCTCCTTTAAAAAAAAACAACAATTAACAAGATGCTCTGATCTGCCTTCATCTTTAGCAGTAGTGGAATCCAGCACCTGAGACGTAGGTCAGATTGTTACTGCACACCCACTGTTTCTTTGTGAGTGGCTAAATATTAAAATTCATTTTTAAAAGCTACTTTGCTCCTTTTGCTGCAAGTATATTGCCTCTGAGGTTGTGGTCACTATAACGTATGATCTGTTCTCAGCTTTGTTGAAGCAGCCATCAAAGTCCATTCACATACTTCTGGCAATTGCCATAAGGGACATGGAAAACCAATGGGTGTATTGAGACAAAAATAATATATTGGCATTATGGGAATAGGTATAGAGGAACTTTGTGGTTGTGCTCTCTCCCCCCACCTCTCCTGCAGCTATCTGCAAAGTTTCATTTCAGACTGATCATGATTTAATACCCACTTACCATAATGGCTATTATAGCTATAGTCTTAGGATATGAGGAGCGGTCCCCAACTTTTCTGGCTCCATGGACTGGCAATGGAGGCTGGTGGAGGAGTAGAAGATGGTTTCATGCATGCAACCTAATCCCATGCATGCACAAATGAAGCCCGCTGCTCCCTCAGCCTGGTTCCCAACTGGCCCCAGACCGGTACCATCCACAGAATGGGAGTTGGGTTCCCCTGCTCTAGAGTACAAAATACTAACTTATATGAGATTTAAAGAATGTAATATATAATAAAGGCATAATATTGTGTTCCCTTATTTGGTAGGATCTATTTACCAATTTTATGTTTAAAGTCCTTTGCCTTTAATTTATTGGATGAGTGCTATCAAAAACTGCCATAAACATGGATTTGGGGGGATAAAGTAACACTTACAAAATACATCTCCCCTGAGTTTCTTTTCATGGACAGTCTGGTTTTTGAGGTATTCAATTTCTCCTTCTTCTTCAACACTTTCTTGTTCTATTGTTTTTCTGTCTTTTCTGATGTCTTCAGTGCTTTCCCCCCATTTACTGAAGGTACTCTCTGGATACAAGTCATCTTCATAATCTAAAGGACTCACATGAGCTTTAGATGCTGGGATTGTATTTTTTATGTCATCATGCTTTTTTGCACTTTTCTTGTAAAGAAGCAGTTTCTTGAATTTCTCTTTGGTAATGCCAGACATTCTGTGAATTGCTTTCACTGAATTTTCATGAGCAACTAGGAAAAAAAGAAATAACAAAAGGTGTCCAAATTATCACACACATAGTAAAACCATTCCATCTTGAATTTGGAACAATCTGACATTGGGACACCTCAATTTCTCTAAAATCCTGATGTCTGTAGTTCAAATATGGATGGAAAAAAAAAATATGGATGGGAAAAAAAAAAGAAAAAAAAGAGATGGTAGTGTTTTCTGTAACTTATTTTTGAATATTTCTTATGTTCTTCTTTTGACTTAAATTGTAACTATGAAGGAAAATATTCATTACCTATATAAAATCAAAATGAGCATATACTTCTATGTTTTTAAAAAATCTAATATGCAGTATTCAAAATTTAATATGAGAGAAACAATAGCATGGCTTTCCACATTTCAGTTTCAGTAGTAGTAGTAGTATGGATTCAATATTATTGATTAGTAATACTGTATTCATTGCATGAAGCATTAACTACAGTTTTTAGGAAGAGAAAACCTGAATAAAAACAAATGCATCTGCCCATCTTATGGATAATATATTCAAATTTCTTTTATCCAGATGTCTACATGCCAATGTTATGTTAATAGTTACTTTAAATTCTTTTCCTCCAGTAATCACACATATCTCCATCCTATGGATATGTTCAAATTACTTTTATTCAGATGTCTATATGACAATATATATATATATATATATATTTAAATTTGATTTATATGCCGCCCTTCTCCGGAGACTCAGGGTGGCTTTCAATGCGTTAAGCAATAGCCTTCATACTTTTGTATATTTATACAAAGTCAGCTTATTGCCCCCACAAACTGGGTCCAAAGGATGGAAGGCTGAGTCAACCTTGAGCCTTGGAGAGATTCGAACCAGCAGTAAATTGCAGGCAGCTGTGTTAATAACAGGGTGCGTAGACCACTGTACTATCAAGGCGCTTATATAATATAATGTTAATGTTTAGTCCACTTGAATTCTTTTTCTGAGAGAGAGATGTTATAAGAGGTAAAGGTAAAGGTGAAATCGCACCTCGCACAGTGGTGAAATGCAAATTTTTTTGCTACTGGTTCTGTGGGCATGGCTTGGTGGGACGGGTCATGTGACAGGGTGGGCGTGGCCAACTTAAAAACTTTTTAAAAGCATTTTTTACTACCTATTCGCCCGAACCGGTAGTAAAAAAAATGCTTTAAAAAATTTTAAAAAAAGGTTCCGACAATCACGAGCACAGCTGATTGACAATCAGCTGTGCATGATCGTCGGAACCTTTTCTTTACTTTTTTAAAGCATTTTTTTACTACCTATTCACCTGAACCGGTAGTAAAAAATGCTTTTAAAAAGTAAAAAAAAAGTTCTGATGATCACGCGGCACAGCTGTGATCGTCGGAACCTTTTTTTACTTTTTAAAGCATTTTTTTACTACCAGTTCACCTGAACCGGTAGTTTTTATCACTACCGGTTCGCCTGAGCCAGCGCGAACCAGTAGCATTTCACCCCTGCCCTCGGTCATATGTGCTAGTCATTCCTGACTCTAGGGGGCGGTGATCATTTCTGTTTCAAAGCCAAAGAGCCAGCACTGTCGGAAGATGTCTCCATGGTCATGTGGCCCACATGACTAAACACCAGAGGTGGATGGAACGCTGTTACCTTCCCACCAAAGGTGGTCCCTATTTTTCTACTTGCATTTTTTATGTGCTTTTGAACTGCTAGGTTGGCAGAAGCTGGGACAAGTAATGGGAGCTCATCCCGTTACACACCACTAGGTATTCGAACCACTGAACTGCCAACCTTTCGATCGACAATTGCTAGCCAATTGTAAAACAAAGAAAAAGATAGCACCTAGCAGGAAATTAAGGCCATTTCTAAACAACTTTGTAGATAACCCTCTCTAGTATAAAATATACCCAAGATAATTGCTCTAGGCTATTTTTATGTTTTGCAGATCTATTCCTTGTTTTCCTTTTTTAGCAATAGCAATAGCACTTAGACTTATATACCGTTTCACAGTGCTTTACAGTCCTCTCTTTTTCTTGCATATATGATACAGTAATCCAAATAACTGAGCAGAGCTGCAATTTACTAAAATTAATTAGCAATAGACGAGCTTTTTAACAAAGTCCCAGGCTGGGGGTGGGGTCATATCAATTTCAAAGACAGCAATTGCCTTCCCAGGAATTTCTCTATTGAGTTCTTGTGCACTTGCAAGATTATATAACCACAAAAGGATTGCATTTTCTAGTAATCCCCTGAAGAAGAAATGGGAAAAAACACTTTCCCAATAATTGAACTTTGCTTTTTATATTTCATAGGCAATATAAAAACGATTTGTTGGTGAAGGCTGGGGAAGCAAGCACCCTGAGGCTCAACTTTCATGCCTTCAAAAGACCCAATGGCTTAGGGCCCCAATAGGAGGCATAGGAGAGAAATAATACAAATAGAATAATCTAGTTTACTCTTTCAGTAAAGGAAAACCTGATCCCAGTGTTGTCCTCTTAATTTTGGAGCTCAAAAAATGTAAAAAAACCAAAAACCAAAAACAACAGCCAGCTCATTTTGCTTGAGCTGATTCCTTTAATGTCTTTGTATGGGCTCTAACCCACTGTTTTAAACATAAAAGAAGAGTAGAATATCCTTCATCTGAAATCTGAAAATGCCTAGATTTTTTAAAATTTGTGAAAAATATTGGAATGAGACTATATACATATACATATACATGTACATACATATACATATACATACATACATACATACATACATACATACATACATACATACATATATATATATATATATATATATATATATATATATATACATACCACTGTTCTTCAACTTACCTGAGCATTCAAAACCATTGCCTCTATAGCCCAGTTTACATTTACACTTGAAGGAACCTTGAATGTTCAGGCATTCTGCATACAAGTTACATTTTGGTGTACTTGCTATACATTCATTTATATCTAAAAAGGGAAATGTTAAGTAAAATGTATTACTGAAGTTGGAAATTGAAAATAAAGCAATTTTTTTACACTGTGAAAAGATACAGCTAATTCTTGCGTACAGATATGAAATGCTGGTTGTTGTTACTGTTAACTTCTCGTTTAATAAAATACTAGTCCTTACCTTTCTATAGTTTTCCTCATTTAGTGCTCAGCAAGTACAAACTTCCTTGGAGTAGTTATGTAGATGCCTATGAGAAGTCTACAAATAACATGTACACGTAATAGCTTTTACAGATTATAATCTCCACTGCATGTTAAAGATGAATAAGTGTTGTTAGAAGAAATATCCTTCTGGGTTCAGCTCCAAGTGGGGAAAAAGAAACTGGAAACATGGAGACCTCTTGGAAAGATGGTTTAAAGGTGGACAGGATCACATGGTTTGAGTTCCTGAACAGAAAAGGGTCCGAGACGCAGTGAGTCCCCAGGTTTTATACCCTCTCTGGCTTTGAACTTCCTGAGGCCCAGAAAGAGTATCCTGATTGGTTGTCAGACTCCCAGGGGATAGGGGTCTTAGCTAGCCTTGCTGGCTGATGTAATCTTCCCAGGTGCCATGTGGTGAGTTTCTGTTGCTAGATGAGTTCTATTGTGTTAGTTTCTGTTGCTGGATGGGTCCTATTGTGTTGCAGATGATGGTCCATTGACAAAGATTGAGTTTCTGCCTCTGGCCCATTGACAAAGGGGGGGGGGCAAGAAGGTGAGAGCTGCTTTGTCTTTTAAAATATGCTTCTCCATTTCTCATCCAGGGAAACATAATATTCTGCCTTTTTAATATTTCCTAAAATATTTAATTCTTCTAGGAAAGGGGTGGATGCTAACTTCCTACAGTGTCATAGATATTTTGCTCTTCCAGTACTAACATGATTTATACATTTATACATTGGTCTAAAAAAAAACCCTGAAAGCCATTTTTATAAATATTTAGGTGCACTTTTCCCACCTACTGTATACAGGAAGTTCTGAAGGTACAAACCTAATGGAGCCTGCCCATTAGGTTCATAAGTCAAAAAATTCATCAAATGAATCAGACTCAATTTTACAAATTTTTAAAATCAAATTCATTAATTGAATCAAATGGCTCATTAAATAAACAAAGATCTGACTTACTATTTCCTCCCATTCGTTAATTGATCGCTGCCATCCTTAACTGAACTGAGAGGCTTTCCAGCCACCTATCAGCCGTTTCTGGTACAGCCTTGGGCTGAGGAGCTAAATTGCCTCCAAGCAGGCTCGCACAGCTCTCCGTTTACAGTTGCTTTTTTTTTTTAAAAAAAAAAAACATTTGCTGCTAATCAGCTCAAGCTTCTTCAGACAGCTGGGGGAGGGGATGTAATTTACAGAACTCTCCGATTGCAGTTGCTTTAAAAAAAAAATCACTTGCCATTAGCATCAAGAGTGCCAATCAGGCACTCAGAGGGAGGTGGGGAAGGGGTTTTACAGAACTCTTGGCTTGCAACAGTAACAGAGATGGAATGGAACTTGAGATCATCTAGTCCCATGATGGTGAACCTATGGCACATGTGCCAGAGGTGGTAAGCAGAGCCCTCTCTGTGGGCACGCGCGCCATTGCCCCAGCTCAGTCAGCTGGTCGTCGGGTATCCGAGGCACGCATGCGCTCCGGCCAGCTGATTGTTGGGTTTCTGAGGTGCGCATGCACGCCAGCCAGCTGATCATCAAGTTTCTGGTGCTCTGGTGTGCATGCGCCTTCCGGTTTGGGCACTCTGTGCCTAAAAGTTTCGCCATCACTGATCTAGTCTAACCCACTGTTCTCACAAGAGAGTATTTCTGATAAATGCCTATCCAGTCTCTTCTTAAAAGCTTCCACTGAGGGGGAACCCACAACTTCTGGAGGCAATTTAAATTTAAAATCTACAAACTACAATAATATACACTAATCTCCAAAATAAAAGCAAGGAAACATTGTTATAGAATGCTTTGTGTAGATGCTGGCTAGCATTTCTACAAGCAGTTTCAAGGCAAATGCAAACAAACTTTATCTTTGCAAAGTACTGTACTTATAAGCACAATAGTTTGCAAAGTATAGTACTTAAAAAGCAGAGCAGTTCCCAAAGTGCTTACAAACAGTACAGTACTATAGAATAACAAAAAAAGAATATTTTAAAATAGTTATAGAAGCAATTCTAGTACTCAATTCTAGCACTAGTCCTCAAGCCCACACAGCACCAAAAAAGCCACCAAAAACTAAAAGAAACTCGCTGCCGAGCCAGCTGCAAAATCACCGGATCTTGGCCATGTGACCAGGGACAAAAAAAAATGTCGGCTTCATAGCCGCTGCTGCAACAGTGACTGAATCCAAGTCACATGGCTACAGAGGCCTCTTTTTGATCGCAGTTTTGAATTTCTAACATAAGTACCCTTTCTGAATAAATTTATTCTTGTGAAAATTTGCTAAATAAACCTTTGTACCTGGGGGATTATCTGTATTTACTGTACTTTGTGCCTTGTTTTTAACCATGACCTATGGCTATTCCTGGCCCAGATTCTTACAGTAATGAGGGACAGGTGCCAAACATTCATCTAATTCAGAATGGAAAACTTTGAGCCCACTATTCCACAGGCAGGAGAAAAATGCACAATGTGAACCTTGATTTAAGGACAATGCTAGTAATTCATAGAAACATCTGTTTAAGTAAGTTTTCTACAAGATATGGGAAAACCATTTTTTAAAAAATCTCAACAACTGCTAAATATCAGGTTTAAGTCCTATTCATAGCAAAATCCAAGTTCACTTATCAGCCAAACAAAGCCAAATTGCATAATATATTTTTGTTAAGAGAAATAATTTGCAGCTATTGATTTTAAACATATTTGTTGAACAACTGCTGGACATCCTACTATCTAGTAGATTTCAGTTACTCAAAGCGTTATGATTCAGAATGTGGCAAATGTTTCTCCATTATGTAGAAGAGAGCTTTAACTCATCAAGCCTATGGATAATTGAAGTTTTCTGTGTAATTTTGGCATTTTCTACCTCTGATTACAACAGAGAGGTCTATTTTCCACAGGGGAGTGGGAATATTGTGTGGCTAACACCTCTAGTCAGAAGCACAGCAGTTGCAGCATTGTGTATGATTTGGAACATAATGCTGTTGCATTGAAACAGACTATTTTAATGCAATTCATTAAATCCACCATGTTTGTATTCAGGTTTGTTTGGAAGCCAGAAAAATGATGTATCTGTTTTAAGACAGGCTGTGCTTGCTTATGCATCTTCCAAGCCATATTTATAAAATCATTTTTGAAACATGTACAGCCCTCCTTAATGGAAGTTCCTTCTGAGATTTTACTTTTTATTGTCATTAGTTATTACATAACTTCTGAATAAATTCAGAAATTCTGAATAAAATCAAAATCTGAAGGGACTTCTGGCATCAGTTAAAGATGTATCAGTCTTCCCATAATATAGGCAGAAGCAAATTTAATCCTTACCTACACAGTCATATCTGCCATTCAGGTGTTTCAGTTCATATCCAATCTGGCATTTGCAATAAAAACTTCCAAATGTGTTGATACATCTTCGACTGAAAGAACAAACTGCTCTGCCAGTGGCACATTCATCAATATCTATTACATGAAGATGAAATCTTGTGAGATCAGAAAATGAGCAAACACAAGCCTAATTGTCATGGTTACTTACTAATTTAATTTTTTTTTTTATTTATTTACCTACGGCATAAGATAGTCAGGGAAATCTACAAATGCTAAACACAATGCAGTTCTAACAGCCTTAATTGCTAACTTTGTTTAAAAATTAAATGTCACCTTTCAGGTTAAATTTTTCTTAGCAACTAATTAATTAAGTTGACTTACATAAAACACATTTCAACCAGTATGTTTTAAAATGGAAGCCAGATTCACTTAACAACTATGGCAAAAAAAGTCGTAAAATGGAGCAAAAGTCACTGAACTGTTTTGCTTAGCAGCAGAAATGTTGGACTCAGTTATGGTCATAAATTGAGGACTACATGTAATTTGTCCTTCAATGGCATATTTACTGTTCAGCAGTTGAACTAAATATCCACATGGGCTTATTGTATGATTCCTAAAAACATTCTCAATTCATGAATTCCATATGCATCTTGCTTTTGCAGCTATATGTTAAGGCAGCAATCCTCCAGAGCCATGCTTCCAAGCTGATGAATTTGCTGCTTGAAAGTTTATGAATATCTGTAGTTTCTGATAAACTTTATTTCCTGTGTTGTCAAATTTCTCCTAGGCTCTACAATGTCTCCAGAGTCTGTTATGCTGAGGAAGTGCCTTTTCTCTTCAGGAAAAAAAAAATCTTCCTCACTTCTTGTATATCTAGATTTCACAGTTTAAGGCCCAGGCCATATGCAGCCCCTGTCAAAGCTTCAGAAACAACTCCCACTGTCCTTCCAAAGGTTGCTGCCAAATCATCAATTTTAGTGCAAGAAAAAGGGAACATTAAGAAATATGGAGAAATAATCATATTAACTGTATGTAATCGATGTCACAAAAGAAACCATTAACCCCAACCTTGGCTAGTTCATTTGCAAGGATGATTCAGTAGGAAAATACAGTTCAACATGCTAAGAAAATCTAGAGGTTTTCAAACATCCAACAGCACCCTTGATTATATACAGGCTTTTAATAGCTTTTTCTTAAAAGGTTGATATGGGCTGGAGATAGTATTGCCAGAGGAGAGACTGTTCATATCATTGCTTTTAAAATGTACAGTTGAAGGAATAAATATACTCTACTATTGAAGATCAGTAATACTGAACTTTTAAACTCCTGAGAAAATACACAGATGTATGTCTTCCTTGGCTTCCTCTGCTACGTGGGGATATCCCCATATAGCAGAGGAAGCCAAGTAAATAGCTATTTACTTTTATGTTTCTTCTAATGTAGCCAACTTTCAGTACTATCTAACAAAGTGGGCAGAAACATACAGCCATTCCATCCAAATACACAAAAAATAACATTAGTTTGATTATTTATGTACAACTTCAAATAATTCAATTTTCTACCTTAGTCAATTACCTTAATTATTACCTTAGTCTTTGGGTTAATTATATTTATTTTCAGATATATGCTGTCATTGCATTATCCAATCTGCCTTACATTTACTGCAAAGAATTTGTATTATTAGCAATAGCATAACATCATCTGCATTTAAAAACTTATATATATTCGCAACATACCCCTAATGTCACAACAAGAATTATTTATACAGAGGTTATTATTTGTTAAGCAGAGGAAAAGAACATCATACATATACTTGTCTTATTCTCGCATCAATATTGTATTATTCATTAAGCAGGACATTTGACTGGTCAATTATGCAGCATCAAATTGTTATTAACTCTAGTGCACCCTGTAATTAACACAGCTGCCTGCAATTTCTGCTGGTTCGAATCTCTCCAAGGCTCAAGGTTGACTCAGCCTTCCATCCTTTCTAAGGTAGGTGAAATGAGGACCCAGTTTGTGGGGGCAATAAGCTGACTTTGTATAAAACATACAAAAGAATGAAGGCTATTGCTTAACGCATTGTAAGCCGCCCTGAGTCTCCGGAGAAGGGCGGCATATAAATCAAATTAAAAAAAAAAAAAAAACTCCTAGCACCACACACACATATATATTCATAACACAATCTGTCCCTAACCTAGTCCTTCAGGTCTTTCAATTGTACATGTTTGCCATGTTACTTATCAATGGGCATGATTAAATCATAAGTTTTATATGTAAATCATAAGTTTTAAATCATAAGGTGATTTTAATTGGGAGATTTTAATTGATTATTTTAATAGTCATTTTTATTGTTTTCATCGTTTTAATTTTTGTGAGCCGTCCCGAGTCCTTTGGGAGAAAGGCAGCATATAAATATAATAAAATAAATAAATAAGTTTGAAATATCAGTAGATCTTTTTCTAAGCAGAAATTCATCTGTTATAATTCTCACTCATTTGTTGACCAAAAGCCTAGCCAAATTTTATGAATACTCTTGTCATTCCCACCCATCTATTTATCTCACTTAAGTAATTTTTCCCCAAACTCATCTCTGTTACTTCTGTTATCACCATTCACTGGAATGCAATATACACGATTACCATGTTACATATGCCAATGATCCTAAATACATACTGTAACAGCTTTATAGTCCACATATTCAAGTAAAGCATACTGTAGTTTTACCCCAAACATTGTCTGTATCCAGGATAATACTGTGCAACTCAACATAGTGCTGCCTGCATCTCACCAACCAAGAGCATGCAGTATGCTGACATATACTTGGGATGTGCACTATAAGGGTTAATATTACTATGTGCAATATTAGGGTTAATATTTATTCTAGAATTAAAGTTGCTATTTCTTCCATCTTTATATGAAGCACATGCCAGATTTTGAGAAATGTTTGGAATAATAGTATCATTAAAACAACTAACATACCTATGCAGGTTTTTCCATTTGGCGCTAGCTGAAGTCCACTTGACGGACACAAGCATCGCACATCATCTTTCACTTCTTCACAACCATATTGGCAATTCACCATGGTGCATGTTCTGGAATCTTTTAAAGCATATTATTTATTAACATCTACATAACTAGAAATACCTACTTTAGAAAATTATGCTTACTAAAAGGAGTATTTTAAAGTCTGTTTAATAGAAAAACATTGGGATGCACAAATCAGCATCTTTGTATCTTTTAATTGCTATTTTGACTGTTGCCATTCCTATTACCAAAACGACACACGTTTGTTAAAGTTAGCGCACACTGATAAAGGCTTCAAAATAACTATATTTTTAATTTTTAGATAGCTAGAAAGCTCTAGGCACAATACAAAATGGTGGTGACCTATCAATCCTACATGGATTGTTATGTACCTGAACCACTATACCTGATATGTACCAGAAGCACATTATCTGAATCTTACACTGAATGCTCTTTCCAGGTGCTGCTGTACATAAAGTTAGGCAAGTAAGATCAAAGGGTACAGACTTTTTGGTCATGCCATCAGATGCACAAAGCACTCTATCTAGAAAACTGCTGCAGGTTTTGATTTGTTTTTATAGCGTCACATGAATACCCCTTTGATGGCATGATCGTGCAGTGGTTAGAATGCAGTATTGCAGGCTGACCGCTTACTGCCAGGAGTTTGGTCCTGACCAGCTGAAGGTGGACTCAGCCTTTCATTGTTCCAAAGTCAGTAAAATGAGGATCCAGATTGTTGGGGACAATATGCTGATTCTGTAAACTGCTTAGAGAGGGCTGTAAAGCACTATGAAGTGGTATATAAGTCCAAGAGCTATTGCTATTGCTATTTTATTAGATTGTTCTGTTCTTTGTGTTTGAAAACTATTTTTAGTCATCCCTTTATTTGCTACACTGAATTTATTGATCTGTATAACTGCTGCTTCTATGATTTCTCAAGTTTAACTCTGAATTAGATACGTTGATGTAAATAGTTTAATAGATACGTACAATTTACATTTTTTACATTACAGCCATTCAATATGTATTTTTAGATAGGAATTATAATATTCCCTGGTTGCCCTGGCAACTCATCTCTCTGTATACCTTTTTCCCCTGCATGCCTTTGAAAGCCCACCTGACATTTCATCCTGCAGCATTTTGTTTCACGTTTCATTTAGATTCATGAGAAAAAACAACTTTTCTGTCACTATCTAAGAAAAGTAAAGTAAAATTGCTAATAAAAACTTGTTGATACCACAAATAATTTATTGAGCATTTCCATGGCTTATGCTTCATTTTCAACATTTATTGAAAGCCAACAATTGGTTCAAACTTTGTGCTTTAGCCCTTCCTAATTTTTCTCGATTCTACTATACAGGTACATTACAAATGTAAAGTGGAAAAAAATGGCAGGATCAAATGTTTAAAAATATGTTCAAAACCCCGCATTTGTTTTTTCCTTCTCTCAAGCTCAGGAAATGCTTTGAAGACAGCTAAAATGTCTGATTTAGCATAGCATGGTTTTTCTATATGCAGTGGAAAATGAGCAGAACTAAAGAAATAAGTCCATGGTTTGCCTCCTAAAGGTACACATTAAATAACTTGTAACATCACCAACACTGCCATCACAATCATTTCCATATAATACCTACAACATAGATTTAACCCCAAATCTCAAGTTAATATTGATACTTACTGGCACAGGTGCCATCTGGCATGAGCATGTACCCATTTAAACAATAGCATTTGTAGCTTCCGTGAGTGTTCATGCATCTGTGTTCGCAAACATGTGGCTTTAATCCACATTCATTGATATCTGCAGAAATAATTAGAATAATTGAGTTTAGACATCTACGGAGGGAAATTGCAATGCACTCTACATGGGGCTGCCCTTGAAGAGCATCCGGAAGCTCCAGTTGGTGCAAAATGCAGCAGCCTGCATGGTTTTGTGCAGACCCCAGTGTGCACATGTATCACCTTTCCTGCGGGAGCTGCATTGGCTGCCGATTTGCTTCTGGGTGCAATTCAAGGTGTTGGTTGCCACCTTTAAAGCCCTTCATGGCTTGGGACCATGATATCTAAGGGACCATCTCTTGCCGGTTACATCTACCCAACCCATCAGAGCAGGGAGGCAGGGAATGTTGAGTATCCCATCCCCTAAGGAGATACACCTGGTGGGACTCAGAAGAAGGGCCTTCTCAGTGGTGGCCCCCTCTCTCTGGAACATCATCCCCACAGAGATTCAAATGGCTCCACTCTGGCACTCTTCCGGAAGGCACTGAAGACCTGGTTCTGCCAGCAGGCCTGGGGAACCCAGAGCGGGATGGAGCCCATTAAATGGCTCGTGTGAGGTGCTGTTGCCGGAGCGGGGGGTGGGGGGTGATTTTAGTATATTAATTTATTATATGACTTCTTTTATTAGTTTTATTGTTTTTATATGGGGGTTTATATTCTGTAAGCTGCCTTGAGTCACCATATGCGAATAGGCAACAATATAAATTCCATAAACAAATAAACAAACATTGAGTTGTGATTTATGACTTAAATTTGTATCAGAAAATGTTACTTGTATGTTTAACTATTATTACAAACAGGCACTAGTATATTCAGGAAATATATTAAAAATAAAATCAAGGAATAATTTCTTTTCAATAGTATACTAAATACCTTGATTTAAATGGTAAGCTTGGTGATCTTGATTTAAAACACCCATTTGCATTAATAAAATGTCACTTTAGGAGACTTGTATTTGATAGAACAATTTGCAGAGAGATTCAGCCAAGGCTATGGATATGTTTATCAATCTCTTCCTCCATACTCAATGGAATGGAAGATACCCTGCCATAGTCAAAGGAATTGAAGATCTTAAACATAATGCTGTTTTGAAGATCCATGATCTGATCTTCTGAAAACAAATGCTTCTTTGGTTAAAACTAGATGTGAAGAACTCAATATAATGACAGTGAAGATTAGGAATATAATACTTTAGTTTATTTATACATATATCCTAAACACATGTACAGAAACCTATGTGCATATCTAAATAATCTTACAGTATTTCTAGACCACCGTTTATGGATGCTATGCAATTCACATCAGAGCAAAAATAAAGACAAAGGCAAAAATTGTGAACCAAAAGAAGATTGCACATACATGAATGAAGGTGCCTGCAATCAGCATAATATCTTCTCCCCACCACTACCAGAGGTGGTATTTAGCTGGTTTGCACTGGTTCGTGCGAACCGTTGGCGAAAATTTGGCCAAGGTCGCCAAACCGGTAGTGATGGCTGGCTGGCCATGCCCCCAAACTGGTCCCCCGGTTGCCGCTCACATGCCCTGCCCGCCATGTTCATCGCTGCCATGTTCTCCACGCATGCACATCCCATTGCCTTGCAAGTCCAATGGGATGCGCATGCGCGAAGAACATGGCAGCGACAGCAGCAGATTTTTCCGTGACCTCCAGTACTTTTTGGTAGCCTGCAGCCAGCTGCTGCAGCCACAAAGCAGCTCTCAAAGAGGTGGCGGCTGGGAGGCTTCTTTGTCAGCCGCTTTCCAGAAGCGGCAGCTGGCTGGGGGGCCGCCAAAAACTCCAGTCAGCTTGCCTTCCGGACTCTGGACCAGCCACTATGGAAGGTAAGCAGCCCGAACAAAGAGGCGGTGGTGGGGGAGGAAGTGGGGCTAGGGCTGGGGCCGCTAAAGGAGGGGAAATGGGGGTGACTGGTGAAGGGAGGGGGGAGTAAATAGGTAGAAATTCCAAAAAAAATCCTACCTTTTGTTGTGGGCATGGCTAGGTGGGGGGGGGTCATGTGACTGAGTGGGTGTGGGCATGAGTGACATCATGTTGGTCATGCCCACTCAGTCACATGCGCCCCACCTAGCCATGTCCACTGAACATTTAGCAAAATTTTTTGAAACCCACCACTGACCACTACCGCCTGCCTCTCATAAAAACGTCATGGAAGAGGGGATTGCAACTACTTGAAAACAATCAGAAAAACTTTGGGAAATAGTGAGTTTGTTACTGATTTTGTTACTTGCGAATCTGATTTTGTTACTTGCGAATCCATAAACAGTTTGTCAGGATTTTTGAGGAAGGGAATGCAATCTGTTACATTAATTAATTCCGAATGCAGTCCTTCCCCAATGCTATGGATCCTGTTATGATTTCAGCTGGAATAGGATCTATGACATCAACCTCTGTGTCTATGTTTTGATGGCTCTGCAAGCCAGAAGAGCTCATTAAGCATACAGTGACATGTCAAAAAGAATATTAGCTATGCCAAGATTTCTTAATATATAACTTCCTTATTTTTGACATGGAATAGACACAATGAATGTCCCTAATGTAATGTATCTACTAGAGTCACAGGAGTCAAAGTCATTATAGAAAGCTCAGTTTTTAAATAGCAGAATTCTAGAAATGACAATCTCATATAGTAAAAGAAGAACCATCTAACCATTGAAAAAACGTTGCTTTAGTGCTGTGCTCTAGTGCAGCATAACAATGGAAAGCTTGCATATGGCTGAACCAAGAATATTTGAAGAAGAAAGAGTACATGCACCAATAAAAGACTTGTGCCAACAAAAGTGCCCAGGAAGCTTTTGGGGTTAAAGCCAACAGCTGTTGCTGATGGGGGGAATGACATTGCTAGAGACAGGCATATCTGCAAGATAGGAAAAATATATTTTGTATGGTCCTTTGGGCCAAGTTAAAGCTATAATTTAATTTGATTATAATTTTTAATGAAATACTAGGTAAGCTATGCAATATTTGAAATAGAAATAGAAAAGCTATATTGGTTGAAAATATATTGTTTACAAGAAAAAGCACCAGTTTACCTTGGTTGCAGCTTTTCCCTGTATATCCAGGGTAATATTTACATGTATCTGGCAACACACATTCACCATATTTGCATCCATCTACACAGATAGCTGTGAAAGAAATGCAAGAAAAGAAAAAGGAATGAAACATAAAGACAGAAACTGAATAAACTTAAGATAATTTCTAGGGATTTGGATATAGTAGCACTAAAGTAAATTAGGAAAATTGGCATATCCTGGCTTCGGAAATCCTTTCCAATGCGTTAATAATTGTTCCACTCTAAACCATGTGACCAGAAGGAAGCATTTCTCAAAGTGCAGCAATCAGCAACATTTTAAGCCAGTCTTTCTCAGCCTTGACATTTTTAAGATGTGTGGATTTCAACTCTTAGAATTCTGGGGATTGAAGTCCACACACCTGAAGTTGCCAAGGTTGAGAAACACTGTTCTAAGCTGTTGCCCACTGCCTGTCCCATTGAAACATAATGGGATTTTTTTTTTCATTTTTTCCCTGCAGCTTCCAACTGAATTCAACCCATTTTCAAACACAATCTTGCTTTTGTTGGATTATTTCCCAGTACGATGTTTGGCCCCATTTTGCATTTTGTTTTTGGAGAGTCATCCTGCTGATAAAGGAGGTGTAGGCAGAATCTCAAGTCTCTTTGTGAAATTAATTTCAAATATTCTACAGAGTTTGAAAGAATAGCATGGATTATTGTAGAAAAGTAACAGGTTGGAGCTTGAAATGTCTACTTTGATTGAAAAAATCTCCATACTGACTAAAGATCAGCATGAATGGTAGAAATATGTTGACATAGATTTTTGCATATTCCAATATATCAACAGTAAATAGGAAACAGAATAGAGCATTGTCCTGGGTTTTTATATACTAAGACAGAAGGATGCATTTCAACAAGTTCTTCTGAAAAGAATGGTTTGCTTTTTATTGTGGATATCAAACTACTGATATTAGGACTATCTCCCTTTTTTATAGACTTTCTTGTACAAATCAACTTTTATTGGAGGAGGAGGACCATAAAAATTAGTAAGGAATGGTAGGTACAGAGTGGTAAGAAGAAAAGATGATGAAGCTTTTGCATGAGAAGCAAAACTTCTTCTTCTTCCTCAAGGAAAAACAGTCCAGTTGTTGAAAAAGCATTCTTGAGACAACTGTAACCTATATGACTGAGAATCCATAGACAAAAAGAAAAGAGTTCTGATTTTCAGCTGCTCAACCCACCTGTTGAAGTCTGGAGATACATCTTCCAGGGGAATATTCTCTAGACATTTAGTCTCTATAGGAAATTGAAAAATATCTCTGAATCAGACTTGATTAAGCATCAGAGAACTTTAAGATATAAATTACCATGAAGTAAATGATTACAACCCTCATCAAGGCTAAGTACAAGAGGAGAAATAGATGGGAATAAAATATAAACTAAGGCAAGGCACTTGCCAAAGGTAGGGATTTGATAATTAAATGCAATTTAATTTTTATTGTAGGTCTTTTCAAAGGGGGTTATAATATCTTTGGCAAAAGCAAGCCTGATAATAGTGCTAATTCTCAATTCATGAATTCCAATGGTTATTTTATATCCTACTTTTCTTTATACCTGATTATAAGGTGGGGCGAGACCATACTATAGTAGAGGAAGTCATTCTCAGAACCCAACCATACTTTCTGGAAATTCATGAATTTACACAAGACGGAACCTGAAAACAAATGTTTCAAAAGCATTTTTGCCTTTATTCCTCTCTGTAGAGCTCCAAGCTTCTGATTCTCTCGTAATATCTTCCTAGGTCCTGTGCCATCTCTGCAGCCCAGACCAATTCAACAACATAGCATTTTTCTGCATTTCCTTTCTGCATTCTATACATTTTACATATCTACATCTGACACATATTTTGGGACACAGAATTTGAGCTTTAAGTTCATAATATAAGAGGTTTTTTTTACATGTGGCACTTACTTTGTCTTGACAGTTACAAAGTTTTCCAAATTTAACCCAACCAATTGTCTCATATAATGTTCTTCTGAAATCTATTAAGCAATATTATCTGGCGACTTCAATCATCTTGTGTTCTAAATTGATTAACAATATTTTACACAAACAGCACCAGCAAAACCCCTGCCTTAAGGAAATCTTGATCAAAGGTGTCTTAATGTGAAAAGAACAGTGTAATAAAGGAAACAAATACAGGAAAGAATGTTGGTATATTAATTCATATGTTCAGCATCATGCCTGACTCAAACCAGAAATATGGGGATAGAACAATTTAAAAAGCTTTTGAAAAGTGAATACTGATAAATTATTCATGCTTCACTTGCTGCTTTGAAAGATTTTTATTTGTTATCTTTTTCAACATACTATATTCTTGAGCAGCTGAACTAGGTTTATACAAACAATTAAAAAGCATTATTAATAAAGGATCTCCCCATGCAGCATATGGAAATACTTTAATTTATGACAACTATCTGCTATATATATTAATAGATATTCAAGAGGAAAATACTTTTTTGACAGCATTCTCCCTTGTATAACCATCTGATAAATATATCAATTATAATATGAACCTTTGCTCATCTGTATTGGGTAATCCAGTTCTAAATTCCTCAAAACAGCAGATGCAACATCTAAGAAATAAATTATCCCAGAGTCATTATTTTATTACTTTAGGTAGCTTGCCAGAATCTAGCCAGAGAAATATTTTAACCTTTCTCTTATATTTATGCTTCTATTATTAATAATAGTATCAATATCATTAGATAATCATGGGCTTTTGTTAACCTAATTCCCCAGAGGCCTAAATCAGAGACCCAGCACAGGCAATCCTCAAATGTTTTTACAATGAACAGTTCAAAATGATCAATTCTCTACTTATGTGGAAATGTGAAGACAATTTATGTTGTTTAATGAAAAACATCTATTTATAAATAACTCTGTGTGCCCTATGTAAAAGCTTTCTTCCCCTGAATTTCCTTAATGTCTACTAATATGGGCTTGGGCAGTATTAAAGGTTAACAGGGTAGAGACATGCAGAAATTGAATTCTTTCCAACTTCTTAATAGTACTCTCTTCTGAGTTATCTTTGCAGAAAGAGAGAGAGCAAACTTAGAATGGAAGCATTGGTAACATGCAATATCGCTGCATTGGGGGTGAATTTGTTCCCATTTGAAATTTATCTCTCTCTCTCTTTTTGTTGGTTTCACCATCATAATTCTAATCTTGGACTATTAACTTGCTAATAGACTGTCCACTTGACAATGAGAAAAACAGGGTTCTCAGTGAGCCGAATTAATTCAAATTTAGGCATATTTTTATAGAAAAAAATGGAGCAACAAGTAGGTACAGTATGGTTACCTTCACAGAGCTGTTTGTGATTTCTTTTCCAGCCATAGCAGCAATCAGACATAGATCCATAACGACAGACCCCGGGCTCATTCACAGTTAGCAGCTGCCTGTGACCTCTTAAACAGTGCAAAAAACAGAACATGAATTCTAGTTAAGGAATTAACAAAGGCTTATGTTCTGGACATATGTCCCATCTATCCATTGAGAAGTCTGGTTATATTGCCATAGCATCATAAGAAACTCTTTCTGCTGAAGCTGAACTTTATCCATTATAAGTAATAATAATCTGCATATTCTTAATGGAACACAACTGATTTCCTCAATTTAGCAAGTACTTGCTTCATTTTTATTGATTAATAGATGTACTGTCTTTCTAATGTCAACAACAGCAGGGAGCAGAGTTTCTGTGTGGCTTTCCCTCCATATCCTGCTTAAAACCGTGGTGGTGCAGTGGTTAGAGTGCAGTACTGCAGACTATTTCTGCTGATCACCGGCTGCAAGCAGTTTGGCAGATCAAATCTCACCAGATTCAAGGTTGACTCAGCCTTCCATCATTCCGAGGTCGGTAAAATGAGGACTCAGATTGTTGGGGGCACTGTGAAGTCATATATAAGGCTAAGTCCTAAGTGCTAAAACCAAAATCAGTTAATTTTAAAGCAAGTACCCACAGGCCATCCATGTTGGAGCCATAGCATATTGATAGTGCTAGTATTTTTTAAGTAAAAGATGCTGAAACAATGTGTATTTAAAAAAAAAAAATCTAATGCCTTCCCTACATTCATTTTGCTGGATTTGACAAATGACAAAGACTTTTTAGCATGCAAAATTCATTTTCAGCATCACAACTTGTGCTTCAATCTGTGAAACCTATTCAAGACACCAGGACTATATTCCAAATTACATGGCTGTAATTACAAAATGCTTTTTAGCCATTTTGGAAGCCAGTTGACACCTGGAAAATTTTGTCTCAGTCTATGCATGTCATATTTAAATGAAATTTAACATTACAACTAAATATGTTGTTAAAAAGTTTGGTGAAATAATGCAAAAAGCAGGAGATTAAATTTAGAAAGAATCTTGTTATGGATATTTTTGTTGTTTAACTCTGGTCATTTTCTACCTGAAAATCACCTTTGAGCAGCTGCTTTTTCACCAGGGTGAAGCAACTATCTCTAATTTTAAAAACACTTCATTGCAGGGATGGAAATCAATGAAAGAAAAGAGAAAGGATTAAGTCACTTCTCCCCTCTTCCATTTGGACCAGCCTTCTTCTGGTGCCCTCCTGATATGAAATGCTGTTTAATTGGTGCTATTTTTTCCCATTGAATAGTTACCCTGAAAAGTTATCTTCTTGGCTTTTGTGAACTTTATATATTCTTTCATAATAGCAAAATGAGAATATCCCAAAGATGAATGTCATTAATTCAGCCACAGATCCAATGAACAAACTTTCCTTTTAATTGAAGAACACAATATAAATATTTTTAGGAAAGAAAAAGGCAGGTAGTCCTCTTGGGTGGGCTATTTGAATCAAACAAATTCACCCCACATGGCATGACAGCAAAAGTTAATCTATCACTACTGTTATTACTCATAAGAATGGTGAAGTAGCAGTCTTTGGTATAATATGGTCAAATTATGAAGGAAGGAAGGAAGGAAGGAAGGAAGGAAGGAAGGAAGGAAGGAAGGAAGGAAGGAAGGAAGGAAGGAAGGAAGGAAGGAAGGGTTTTGATTCAATTCAAATAGCTGTTCTGTTTCTAAGAAAGTGCCAAATGATTTAGGGTAGCTAATATCATGCCTCCAGAGAGTCTCTGACTTTGGCAATCTTTGACCAGGGCAACTGATCAGGTTCTATGCCAGAACCTTCTACAAACCATCTTTACTGCTACTTCATGTCACTGTGACAAACAACCAGTTTTAGCTCACTCCAATGCTCATATTAGTCACTGTATTGCACAATAAACTGAAGGACATTTATGTGCGCACCCACCCACCTTGAATACTAAATATGTGCAACAACATTACAATTCACAATCCTGCCATGAAAATTTCTATGAAATCATTGTATGCTTCAAGAAATAAAAAAAAAACACTCTTGCTATTTGAACGGACTTCAATCTGCAAGCACAGCAGCAGGAAGGATGGATCCAACATTGATGTGCCTTTAGCAACTGACTGAGAAGCCTTCTGCTAGACATGTAGAAAACTTCTCACCATGTCCCCTCTTCTGCTAGAAGCTGTCCCAAATGTAACTCATGGGTTTTTCTCATTCTTCTTTCTTTCAGACTATCAAAAGGGTCAGTGTGATTCTGTTCATTTACTGCTTTGGGCCTTTGAACTCAGATTTAAATTAGGCTGAGTGAAAGTGAGTGAAGAATATAAAATGCCTAAATGCATTAGTGCTTACACCCCATCAACAGTCTTCAGCTGCCCTGCAGGGTTCTGGAAAGAAGAAACAACTCAACAGATTTGGGGTAGGGGAAATCCTAAAAGTCTGGGAAATGTCTGCCTAATGTGAACTGGTTTTAAAGACAGAAGTGATTTATCTCAAATGCAATTCCAGAAGAAATTCCTAGCTCAGCATCCCAGCTGTTTTTGGTTGTTCAGTGAGGATCACTGTACAATGCCTTCTCCATATGCTCAGAAACATTCTCCAGACAAAAGCCTAACTTCAATTGTCAATCAGCCACGGTTGCTTATATTAAATTTTCTGCACATATTCACAGAATTTTTCTATCATCCTATATTCCCCAACCGAGTCGCTCTGTGTTGGATATGACTCCCATCGTCCCGCGCCAACACGGGAGCAACCCAGAATCCCAGATACTTTATTTCAGCTCCCAAGAGACCGCATCTCTTTCCCTCAATTGCTCTGCCGAGAGAGAGGTAAACCTATGAGAGTCATCCCCACTGATGAAAGGCGAAGCAAGAAGGTAGAGGAGCCGAACGAATAAATCCCCCGCCCCTCTTCTGGCTGGATTCGCAGGACCACCAGGCTTATGCTATTTTAAACTCAGTGAGTCTTATGAATGCTGCCGGACTGGAAGAAAGGGCTTAAAATCCGCGTCCGTCCGTCTACTCTTCCCGCCCCCCCCCCCACACTTGGCAACTAACCTGCCACTCCCAGTGAAGGATAGCTGGGGAAGCGCGAGACAAGTGCCCCAAGCGAGCAACTACAACCCCATGCTGGAGAGGGTTGCGCAGCGCCTGGCAAAGCTGGCTCTCTGATCAGGATCGCTTCTGCTGTCGCTCGCTCTCACCGTTACTGCCTTGGGCTGCTGGATGGTTTTTCTAGTCCAGTTGCATAGCTATTCCAGGGGCCTTTCCAACGAGGAGATAGATGGGAAGACTGGGGGGGGGGGGCAAAATCCACAAGGATCAGCCAGACTTCCATACAAAAAATCCACCCCCCGGGGTCTGCATTGGGCTTCTGCTCGGTGGGATCTATATGCTTTGGCGGGGATGCGATGGGGCGGATCAGAGCTTTTGCATTGGAGACCCGCCCCCACAATCCGCCCGAGTTAGTCGTTTTTTTCGTTCTCTCTCCCAATGCAGGTATTGTATTACACGAAAACTTGAGTAGTTTCAGTATTAAGTGAAATAATAATAAATGCCGACGCTGAAACTCGCGTTTGGACGAGAAACCAAAGCAATAACTATCGAAACAAATAAAGCAAAAACTCAGAGCGGGATGCCCGCTGGCAAAAGCGAACGGAACGGCGAAGTCCCACATTTTAGTCAGTCAGAAGAGATTTCCATGAGAAACAAACAAATCGTAGTCCAACAGATTTGTCAAAGACAAATCTTTTTGGGGGAAACCCTTGCTCCGCGTGGGGCCAAAAGTTCCAAGTTAAAAGATACCAACAGTAGGTCCAACCAATTTAGCATCATCATAAGCAACTGACTGCAATAGTAGCGATGTAGCTCTGTATCGAACCTTGCTCAAAAAAGGGAAGAGTTTCTGGGTTCTTCACTGAAAGTGTATTTGCATTTAAGAGACATCTCTACTTTTCTTAGCTTGGATGAACAGCGTTGCAAAAGCTATGAATATAAACAAAACATTACAGGAATCTGTCAATACCTTCAGTTCAAAGTCATTTCTATCCCAGCGGGCCTTTGCAGCTTTACACTGATTTCTGAATTATCCTCTTTACTGCAGCTGTCAGTAATAAGTACCAACATCTACAGAGGTGGTTGCACAGTGGTTATAATCCAGCATTGCAGGCTAACTCTGCCCAGTCAGGAGTTCAATCCTGACTGGCTCAAAGTTGACTCAGCCTTCCATTCTTCTGAGATCGGTAAAATGAGGACCCAGATTGTTGCTAACTCTGTAAACTGCTTAGAGAGGGCTGTAAAAGTATAGAAGTCTGCTATTTTGCTATTGCTACTCACATAGCAAAGTCAGTAGTCAAGCAAGATTTCTCTTCCATCCCCAACAGGAGGTACTCCTGAGCTTGATGAATGAAAGAAATCTTGATTACCAGATGCCATTTCTGTGACTAATGCTATTCCACCATTGTCCACTCTAGTGCCCAAGGTGGTATAAGGAACAAGGAACACAGAAACTGTAGCTTGCCTGAACTTGCCGCTGCTCTTGTGGATTTAGAATACTTTGTCCAGTGCCCACAATTGCTTCCCCCACCCCCTTTCCAAACTGTTCTGTCATAACCAGGATGCCTGTTCACCAATCATACCTTTCTATCCCTCATCATAGGGAGGAAAGGAAGGAAGGAAGGAAGGAGGGGGGGAGGGAGGGAGGGAGGGAGGGAGGGAGGGAGGAAGGAAGGAAGGAAGGAAGGAAGGAAGGAAGGAAGGAAGGAAGGAAGGAAGGGCTTCTGATACAGTAGGACAAGGAGGGCACTTTCTTATGGCATTATTGTCAGCTAGCTTGCTGCTTGCTGCCACGGAAAAGGAGGGAGGGGTCAATGGAGAATTTTTCATTGCAGCTTTGCAACTATGGTCTGGGCATTGCTTATCTCTCCAAGGTCATTTCTTCTGGCTTTGGTATACAGCAGCCCTCTGGTTGCCTAGCTACAAGGGAATTGGGCTCTACAGTTTGTTTTAAATTGCTGCTTCGTGCACTTTTGCCTCAGATCTTTCCTGAAACTTGTTGCAT